CCCCCCCCCCGGTGATTATATGAGATGGGGCAGGGAGGAGAGACTGAGTGAAAGGAACAGCTGGAAAGACTTGCAAAACAGGCAGCATTTAGTAGAGAATGGACAAAAACTCCAACCAGTATGATTACAATTCAAAAATGAGACTTGGAATATCATAACCACGTATGATGAACTAACGCTTCCTTCACTTCCACTCCCTCTCTATGCAAGGTCAACAACAGTACTTTGTTATACAGTATATGAGACAACATCTGCATTCATCTGCATGGCAATTAGGAGATCACTACCACTCTTCAGTGCTGAAGGTGGTCTGGTCTGATCTTTGGCATAATGCCTCCTAGGTACTGAAGGCATATAGTTAGCTGTCAACAGCTCCACGCTCTGGACTGCATTATGCTTTAGGTATGAGTATAACTCTGGAGCACAAGAGAAGGCAACAGGTTCTGGGAATGATTTAAGAGTTACTTAACAGTGCTCTGTAGATGAGATCACTACATCACTTTATGGCCAAGTGGCAGAATGACAGACTTACATGGAGATGAATCGATGAAAATCGGGTCTATGTTATGAAGCAGTTCCTTCCTGGGCGACAGTTTTCCTTCACTAGAACAAAGTTTATTAGGGATAACAATAAGTTTTGTTTTACAGTTTTACAGCACCATGCAAGTACCATTACAATGCTTCCTTTTGTGAACCTTTCAAGGAACAATAGAAGTCTGTTACCCAACGTACAGTCATGTGAAAAACCAAGCACACCCTCTTTGCATTCTACGGTTTTCCGTATCAGGACATAATAGAAGTCATCTGGTCCTTAGCAGGTCTAACCTCAGATGAACAAAGAACACATGACATATTACACCAGGTCATTATTTGCTTAACACAACCAAAGCCAAAATGGAGAAGTTATGTATGAAAAACGAAGTGCACCTTATAATTTAATAGCTTGTAGAACCACCTTTAACGGCAATAAGTTGAAACAATCATTTTCTGCATGACTTTATCAGTCTCTCACATCATTGTGGAGGAATTTTGGCCCACTCTTCTTTACAACATTACTTCTGTTCCTTGAAGCTTGTGGGCATTTGTTCATACACAGCACTCTTACGGTCCCATTACAGCATTTAAATTGGGTTAAGGTCTGGACTTTGACTGGGCCATTGCGACACCTTGATTCTTTTCTTTTTCAACCATTCTGCTATAGATTTGCTGATGTGCTCAGGATCATTGTTCTGTTGCATGACCCAGTTTCAGCCAAGCTTTAGCTGTCAGACAGATGGCTTCACATATGACTCTAGAATATTTTGTTATACAGAGCAGCTCATAGCTGACTCAATGACTGCAAGCTGCCCAGATCCTGTGGCTGCAAAACAAGCTCAAATCACCACCAACACCAACACCACCGTGCCTGACAGTTAGTAGGAGGTGTTTGTGCTGATATGTTGTGTTTGGTTTTCGCCCAACATGGCGCTGCGCATTATGGCCAAACATCTCCACTTTGGTTTCATCTGTCCAAAGGACATTGTTTGAGAAGTTTTGTGGTTTGTCTAGATGCAACTTTGCACACCTAAGCTGTGCTGCCATGTTCTTTTGAGGATTCCTCTTGGCAGTCCTTCCAAACAAAGCATTCTTGTTCAGTCTTTTTCTAATTCCACTGCCATGAACTTTACCAGTTCACATGCTAACTGAGGCAACTCTCTTGAATCTCCACTTGCAAATAATCTTCCTCACTGTAGAATGATGGACTTTAAATGGTTTGGAAATGGCCTTATTAACCCTTCCCAGATTGATGGGCAGCAACAGTTGCTTCTCTATGATCATTGTGGATATATTTTCTCCTTGGCATTGTGGTAACACAGACCTGAATGCTCCAAACTAGCAAACTGCTAAAACTGTGGCTTTTATAGAGGTGGTCACACTGGCTGATGATCAGCAAGGGTATTTGGTTAGCAGCACCTTGCTGCTACTTAGCCTCTTAATTCCTATGGAAGCAGTAAGTCTGTACAGTGCTTTTCACACATGGCTTCTCTATTTGGGCTTCATTTAGTTTCTAAAAATTAGGAATGCAGGAGACCGCTTTTGGAACAGAGTTCTAAAGCTGATGTGCCCCCATGTGTGCCCTTAGCTATATGACAGCTTTTGATTCATGGGTTCATGGATGATGGGTGGATTATACATTTAAAGCTTAGTATCCAAGGTAGAAATTTGCATCTGGCCCAAGGACACCCAGTGGTCATGGCCTGAACCTAGATCTCTTGGGCCCAAGGACACCCAGTGGTCATGGCCTGGACCTAGATCTCTTGAGTAGACATGGGGGGGTGTTGTATTCATATCCTGAGGGATACAAATACAAAACTTGGCAACACATGTGCCACGCTGGTTAGACATGGGAGCTTTGTATTCATATCCTGAGAGATACAAATACAAAACCTGGCAACACATGTGCCACACTGGTCCATTCCTGTCCACCAGAACCATCACAGACTACTCAATGGGCTCCTTGCAGCACATGCGGCTGACGGTGACAACATTGCACCAATCACGGATGTAGTCTCACCAGTGCCACCCTTCCCCCTTCCCTCAGCTGACCACTCAGCAGCCGAGCAGGGAAACTGATCCTCCAAACACCACCTTTTCGCAGGAGCAGTCAGCTGTGGGAAGAGGCAGGGCAGCGCCGGAGGGACTATGTCCACGATTTGTGCAATATTGCTGTCGTCAGAAGGGTGCGCTGCGAGGAGCCCATTGAGTGGAGTGGGCCGGTTCTGGGAGGCTGGAATGGACTGCCATGGCAGTGCCGAGCTTCATATTCCCAGGATACAAAGACGAAGCTCCCATGTCTACTCTTGAGTCCTAGCCAATGTCCTAATAATTACCACACTGGCTCACCCTTACAGTTTCCAAACACTTTTTCAATGGCAGCCTCACAAGATTTGTACTTTGAAATTCCTGAGACTTTTTTTTTGTCCTTAAAAATTAGCAATTTGAAAAGGAGAATATTCCAATGCAACTTTATCAAGACTGTCTACTTTTTCAATGGCAGCCTCACAAGATTTGCACTTTGAAATTCCTGAGACTATTTTTGTCCTTAAAAATTAGCCATTTGAAAAGGAGAATATTCCAATACAACTTTATCAAGACTGTCCTGTTCAGGCAGATTCCCGAATGGTGTGCAGAATTAGGAAGTTTAAATTCACAGACGCAAACTGAGGGGAAACCTGGATCAGTTACCATCCTGGGGTCCGCTCTGTAGAGTGACATCTGGGAACACAACTGATTGAACCCCTATTTTCTCTACAAATATGGCCACTAGCTCTGGGTTTCCCATGCAGCAGCCATAGTACTGGCAAATCAGGGGCTCATGTCTGAACTGGCCAATGAGGAGCCGGCCAATTGGGACCCTGCTTATCTGGCTGAAGGGGCTCCTGTTGGATATTTATTGGGTTATGGTTATGTGTCTAAGACCAGATCCAGCCTCGTGGAGGCGGGCAGGCAGGCCAGCTGTCTGGCTGGCCCACCTGCCGGTGGGCTCACCCCTATTTCAGGTCAGGGACCTCTACAAGGATCATAAAGGTGAACTCCAGTGGGAGCACTCCAGCACAGAAGTGTGTGTGTTCTGGGCTTCACTAGCAGATGGCAGTGGTTCCTATCTAGTGATCTTGCACCAGGGAATACCATTCCCACACAATTCAGTGGATGGTGTGCCATCCAATAGTTAGATCTGATACCTTATACAGTCAACCCTCGACTTACGAACGGCCCCACATACGAACTTTTCGATTTACAAACGGCTCCATTTGAAAAAAATTGGCATCAACTTGCGAACGGAGCCTCAACCTATGAACGAGGTCGAGGCTCTGTTCGCAAGTCAATGCCATTTTTTATGAACGGAGACGTTCGTCGCCTTCGGTGGAGGTCGAGGCTCCGTTCGCAAGTCAATGCCATTTTTATGAACGGAGACGTTCGTCGCCTTTGGAGGTCTCAAAGGGCTTTCCACCTGACATGGGAGGAAGCCCTTTGAGAGCTCCAAAGGCAAAAAGGCAGGGAGAAAGGGTGCGAAATTCGAATTTCCTGCCCTTTCTCCCTGCCTTTTTGTTGTTGGAGCTCTGAAAGGGCTCGCCTGCGCAAAGGTTTCCAGAATCTTCTAGAGCTTAACACTGTTTGCTAGGACCGTGGTTTGCCCATCCTGGCAAGTGCCTCAGTTCCTTTTTGCTGCGGAGAAGCCCTGGGAGACCTCCCTGGGTGTCCCCGCCGCCACAATTGGCGGCTTTGGAGCCCTCAAAGGGCTTTCCCCCCCCTGACATCGGAGGAAGCCCTTTGAAAGCTCCGAAGGCAAAAAGGCAGGGAGAAAAGGCAGGGAATCCAAATTTCCTGCCCTTTCTCCCTGCCTTTTCACCTTTGGAGCTCTCAAAGGGCTTTCCGCCTGACATCAGACAAAGCCCTTTGAAAGCTCCAAAGGTGCCGATCTCCTTTCTCTCCCACCCAGCGGCTTCTCCCAAAGGGCTGCTCCTGATGGCTTTGCGGATCGTCTCTCCCCCCACACACACACACAGCTTCTCTGCTGCCCCAAAAAGCGATTCAGCCTTTCTCTCCCCCTCCCCCAACGCTCGGAAGAACAGACAACACTCGCACAGGGTTTGGTGCTTTTTATTTTATTTTGTTTTTAATTCGGCCGGAATGGATTAACGGGTTTTCAATGCATTCCTATGGGAAATGGGGAATCGATTTACGAACTTTTCAACTTACGAATGCTGTCCCACAACGGATTAAGTTCGCAAGCTGAGGATTGACTGTACTGCACCAATGCTTTTGTCCATTGTAACCAATAAAATTGTGACCATTTATTGTCCACTATACCCAATAAAGCGAGTGTGTGATGTGGTTTTTGGGATGGGAATGAAGGCCATTATCTTGGACCATGCATGCTGCCTGACTCCATGGTGTCCAGTAATTATGAAGTTACAATCTTTTATTGGTTCATATAAGAAAATATCCAACATCCAAAGCATCTATAGAGATGCCTGTTCAGCCAGATTTGTTTCTTTAAAAATAACCACCTCTTGAAGGCAAAACAGTTTAAACAGATATACTGTGTTTCCCCGAAAATAAGATAGGGTCTTACATTAATTTTTGCTCCAAAAAATGCAGTAGGGCTTATTTTCAGAGGATTTTTTTTTCATGCACAACACTCTACATTTATTCAAATACAGTCATGTCATCTTCTGGTTGCTGCACAATGATGGAGGTTGAAGTTTCACTTAACTGGGGCTTATTTTTGGGGTGGGGCTTATATTATGAGCATCCTGAAAAATCATACTAGGGCTTATTTTCAGGTTAGGTCTTATTTTCGGGGTAACAGAAAGTTGTTGCATGGCAAACTCAAACAAGGAGGAGCTGGTGCAGGTTAGGTCTTATTTTCGGGTAAACAGGTAACAGAAAGTTGTTGCATGGCAAACTTAAACAAGGAGGAGCTGGTGGTGAAGTTCACCTATTTTTCTCCATGTCAAAACAGTAACTGCAGATGTTTTCTCTGGGTGGGGGTGAAGTCCACCAATAATTCTATCCACACAATATATATATCACACTTCTAAAACCCAGACACCTTAATCCAACCCTATTTAAAAAAACAACCACCACCTATTACGATTTCAGTCAAACACCCTTGCTGAAACCGTACCAGACTGCAAACCACTTTCTGCACTGCTGATAGCTTAATTAGGTAATTACCTCCTCACTTCACCTTATTTACTTTGGGATACTGAAAACCAGTTACATTTTGACCACTCGAGAATGTATCGAGTTACATTGTTAAAACAACCAACAGCCTGGGGAATTCAGCTTCCCTTCCAGAGAAATACAGAGCGCTGTGGGGACAGAATATTTTTTCCTCCCCATGAGTGGTTAGAATTAATCAGACTCCTGACAGGGATACAATTTTGGTCACCAGAATGATACCAATGAATTACGTTTTCAAGGTCCCCAAAACTTTTCATCAGATATAGATGACTCAAAGTTTGGGGGTAGAGGAAGAGGCCAAGCATCCAAAAACCAGGCCGATGGAAGACAGACTGCTAGGAAGACAAGAGTGTGTTCCCAGATTCAGTGTTTTTAAAAAAGTGTCAGGTTACCATTTCACTCCCTCTTCTCCTCCTGTAAGCAAAAAGCCTGGCTGGGGCTGCTGTGATCTGTCTGTTGCTTTGGGCAGAGCACATAATTTGGAGCAGAAAAATGGCAGCTGCACACAAGTTTTTACAACACAAAACAGGAGATGAAATGTAGGTGCCCACACTATGTTTAAAAGCCAGTCAAAACTAAATTGATCACCAGACCTAGTGGATGGGAGGCTGGATCCTCCTGAAATGCAGTCTGACGAGAAAGCTGAATCTATTTGTCTCTAACCTGATCTAACAATTGTCCGTTTTTAGACATCTTTATATTTTAAAATGCATTGTCTATTTTGTTTAATTTGATTTTTTTTAGTTATGTTGTATTTTTATTATGGTATTTTCATGCTGTAAAG